TCCTCCTCCTCTTCCTCCTCCTCCTCCTCTCCTTCTCCTCCTCCTCCTTCTGCTCTTCCTCTTCCTCTTCCTCCTCCTATTCTTCTTCCTCCTCTCTCTCTCTCTCTCTCTCTCTCTCCCCCCCCCATTCACTCATTCATTCATCTGCAGCAGGTGTTTGACCAAGCCCTAGTGAAGGGTAAATCCATCCAGGCAGTGAGAGTCCGATCCAACCCCCACAAGGCCCTTCCGTGGGGGCTGGCCAAGGAGGAGACCCACTCTTTGCACCCCAAGTCTCAACCCCAGCTCCTCTCTCAGATGCATGCCTTTTCCACAATACACCTCCTCCCCACCCCCCACCCACCCCCGTCAGTGCCACCAGCAGTCTCTTCTGATGCACCAAACTTGCACCAAACAATTCCTTCTTCCCTCTGCATTTTCTCAGTTATTCCACAACCCCTACCCCGCTGTTTTCCCACTTTTCCTATAGGTGCCCTGCCTGGGTGGAAACCCCAGGAAGCAGTGGCCAGGCTAGAGAAGGAAGGGGGGCATTGGAGGAGGTGACAAGGGACTGTCCATCTTGATTCCCAACCTCTGTCTCCAACTCAAAACAGAAAAAGTAAAGCAAGTGGCTAGGAGAGAGCGCCATACCACAGGGCAGCTCCTGGCCTCGCTGGGGGAAGGGGTGCTCCTCCTCCATGCTAGTTTCCCAGCCCCTCCCAGCGTGCGCCCGAGACCAGGTGCTTTCTCCCTGTTCTGTCCGATTGAGCATCTCTTGTTCTTCCCCCAGAAAGAAATCCCATCTCCTTCTGGTCCACAGAAGATCTGGCTACTGCCCACTCTGGGCCTCACCCCGCTCTAGGTTCCCCCTCAGCCCAATTGCTCCCAGTACACTGCTTCTTGCTTTCTGAGAAAACACCCAGCTCATCTCTCATCCCAGGGCCTTTGCACTTGCTGCCCTGTCTGCTTGAAACACCTTTTTCACCAACTGCTCCCTTTCCACAGAGTCAAACTGCTCCTCTCTCCCCTCCTTTGGGCCTCTTTCTCACTGACACCACTCCCAGTCTTCATCATGTTGTCCTGTCTAAGCACCTAAAATGTGCACTCAGTTGTCACCACCTTCCTTTTCTGACTGTCCCTGCTAGAATGGAAGCATCTTGCAGGCAGGGATTTTGTTCTGTGTTTCCTGGTGTTCTCAACCCTCAGAATCTGAGAAGCCAAGCGCGAGGCCTAGCACCCAGAAAGCTCTTGATAAATGACTAGAAATGGGCTGGAGAGATAGCTCCGAGTTCTAAGTGCCTGCCTGGCAAGGCAAGGACCCAAGTTCCATCCCCAGCACCACGTGTGCGCCAGCCTCTGTACGCTGGCCACACCATGCTGGCCACCAAAACCAGGCCTGGTGGCACATGCCTGTAATCCCAGAGCTGGGGAGGCTAAGACAGGAGGAACACTAGAGTCCACGCTGTATAGTGAAACCCTGTATCAAATAAATTTTAAACAAAAATTTTAAATGTACATCTCAGTTGCCACCATTGACAAAGTCTTGAAAGTAATCACCGCTCAACTTCCTGGTCATAGTGCTTTGGTTTGTGGTCCTCAGAAGCCATTGAAAGCCAAACCGGGCTGGTGGGATGGCTCAGTGGTCTAAAGCACCTACTTAGAACAAGCTTAGCAAAACACAGAGACCGTGGTTCGATCCCCCAGCACCACATGCCAGCCAGCCCCACCCCCTGGTGGGCTGAGCTGGCCACACACACACACACACACACACACACACAAATAAATAAATAATAAAAAAATAAAAAAAAGAAAGCCAAACCATAGCCCATATTTATCAAGTGGTTGTCATGTGCATGGCACTATGCTGAGCCCTTGTGCCCTCTTAACGGTAGGAGGGCGTTAGGATGGTGCACATACCCATTATATAGATGAGGACGCCAAGGCACAGGGCATCATTCACCCACGACTGAGTTAAGCAGCCTAACTTCCCTCAGGACCAGCTGCTTAGGAACGAGATAGCCAAAATCACATTCCTTGGCATTTCTACCTGTGCTAGGTAGGTGTTCTTAAGAGGTAAAACCTGAGCATGAGTTGTAGAAGGACGAAGCAGCATGAGTCTAACCTTCAAATCTCCTTTCAGGCTAGTAAAATCAAAGGCAAGCATAGGCTCTTAGGCTCTTGTACATAGTAGGTACTCAGTCATTGGTTTTTTGTTTTGTTTTGCTTTTTTGCGGAACCAGGGAAGTGCTTATTCCACTGAGCCATCTCCCCAGTCGCACTCAGTCCTTTTTGACAAAGAAACATTTCTTTTTAAATCTGAAAAAGGGTTGACAATGCGCCTGCTCCCCTTTTGCCGGGGCTGGGCCTTGCCTTGAGGTTTTCCCTGGGAGGGATCGGGGAGGGGTCGGTGTCGGGCCTCATAGCCTGTCCTGGCCTCACCATAGGTGTGCAGGATGCTTAGGGCCAGAGGACTTGAGCAAGTGCCTGAGATACGTGTCTGTG